AAAAATCAATAAAGATTTACGAGAGAAGTCCTGCAAAACGTTATAGACGCCCTGGCCAGATTTCATCACTCTCCTACCCAGAATTCCATGCGGTCAGCCAGCATAGTACCTCTACCACCATTCAATATAATGGATATATTTCTTAACTCTTATATTTTTTATGAGTCTACACATCAAATTAAACATAGTTAGAATGGTTTAGTTTAACTGAGAAAATATCCTAAAACGTCTAACACTATTTCGATTTGCCCAGCGATCCTTTTATCCCATGGGTTGTAGGGCTCCACGTGCTGTCATCGAAGCCTTATCGAAAACTAACGATCCAGCCCCTGTCGTATATAAATATGCACTGTCATAAGCCTTACTGTCGCAGTTGTAGAAGATTATTTATGTAACAATGTAAAACATTATGAAGACCTCGCCGAATCGCTTGCGTTGGGCCAGTATCTTCTTACTTACGAATGAGCGCGTTTGTTTACGAACAAGAGGAAACGTCCAGTCACGTGATATGATAATTAGACTGTGGTAGCGAGGTTATGCTAAGTCATCGCTGCGCTGGAATGTTTGATTTCATTGGACAATTAGAAAGATCGACCAATAGAAAACGAGTTTACAAACGTAGTCGGATTACTCACTGTCATGCAAAGAAAATGGTGGATATTTCAAGCAGACGGCTTTTGTATAATATACAATCATGCCGCCGTTGAAAAAAATTAAAATTCAGAAACGATTGACGTCCTTGTGGGGGGCTACCGCAGTGGAAACAGAGAACACACTGACAGACACAAATGAAGGTGTCAGCGAGACTGAGGATAAATCTGAGGTAGCGGTCACCAAGTTTAAACGAAAGTTTAACAGAAAATGGTTGGATAAATACGCGTGGCTCAGGCATGAAATCGATGAAAACAATGAAGACTTTATGTACTGCATCTTGTGTTCAGATAACCATAAACAAAATGCTTTGCATGAATCATCCAAAAACAGAAACTTCCAAAATTCAACACTGACGAGACATGTGTCTCTTGACGACAACAAATTTGGTATTGAAGCCCGCCTTCAGCGTAGGAATGTTGACAAACTCAACGACGTGTCTTCAGAAGAGGATAAAGCCCTACACTCTCTTCTAAAAATCATACATTGGATGTGTACTGAAAATTGTGAAGTACAAGTCCATGGTAGACCTTATGCATGAGATGTCTGTTCCAGACTTGTCTGTTCCAGACTTGTCAATTCTGAAGAAGTTACCTTTTCAGTATGACTCAGAATATACAGCATCTGAATTGGTTGATAGTCTCGCACATGTAACAGAAAACGATGTGAATAAGAGATTGAATAAATCACCCTTTGTCACTCTTCTCAGTGATGAAAGCACAGACATTTGTAACAACAAAAGGCTGGTTGTTTATGCACAGATATTAGATGAAGCCTGTCACAGTATATGTCTGCAACACAGAATGCAAGGATACATCTGGAAAGGGCATTGCACAGGCTATTTTGGAAGAACTGAGAAGCAGAAGGGTATCTGCCGAGAAGGTGATGTCTTTGGGTTCTGACGGAGCTTCGGTCATGACTGGGAAACATAACGGTAATTAATATCACGATGTATGATCACATAGAATGAGAGTGACTGTGAGTGAGTTTAGTTTTACGCCACACTCAGCAATATTCCAGCTATATGGCGGTGGTCCATATAGAAAGAAGGCTATGTAACATGTAAGTGCCTACTGCCCTATATTATTTTCAAGTATATATGCAATTAAACAGTAAAGAAACTAAACAAGCAGTATGTTCGCTAACTGGGCTGGCTGGCAAAATGTTAGCTTTCAAAAACAAAATTGCCCAAATCATTGATTCAATTAAGTCATGTAATGTTTCAAATGAATTTGAAGTTGTGAACAAAACATGTATTTTCTAGGTGCTGCTGCTATCATGAAGCGTGAGAATCCTCATATGGTGAATGTACACTGCGTTGCCCATCGTTTGGCTCTCTGCACATCTCAGGCTGCTGCACATATTCCACAGCTACAGAAACATCAACAAATTTTGACAGATTTGTTTTATTACTTCAAGGTATTAAAAAAACAGTAATAATCTAAAAAAAAATAATTGCATTTTGATATTAATAAGATAATCATAATTTGTGAGAAATACAACATACTTTTATTATATTGTACAACAGAATAAAATGATTGTTCATAATATTTGATTTTGATTTTATCTACAGGGCAGCAGTAAACGTGAAAGTCACCTCCATAAAATCCAAGACATTCTTGATGATCCCAAGCTGACTGTTAAGGAAATCCATTCTGTGAGATGGTTGTCCTACTTCAATGCTCTAACTTCTGTCTACCGGATCCTTGACAGCATTTTCACCTATCTAGCAGAGTCTAAAATCAATGATGCTAAGGCAACAGGCCTAAAGAAAAAGGTATTTTTCATGCTTATGTGGCTGATGATGATCATGATGTTTTTATCGTGTATCACTATATTGTGTATCGCTATAATCAGTAACATGTTTGTTACTGCAATTTGAAAATAATACTGCATATCATATATGAAACTTCCGATAGTTAATTAGTTGCAACTTTTGTCATTTCAGATGTCTACAGATAGCTTTGTTTCGATCACCTATATGATGATGGATGCCATGGCACCTGTTACTGTTTTGTCACAATTTTTCCAAACAGAAAATGTTGACATAGCACTTGTGAAGGTGAGCCACAGACTTTAGTCGGGGACTTTCATTCTTAAATATTTAAAAAACAAAAGGGAACACACAGTAAAATTAACAGGTTAATTATTTCATTATTTTCTCAGGAATGGCAAATGGAAATTTAACGTTTAACTTTCATTTCTTAATTGTAGCATGTTTAGTATGTGTTCAAATTTTAGTTTTTAGGTAATTCCTTTTGTAGGTGAAACTTGACCTTTGCCTCAAAGACTTGGAACAAGTGAAAAGTATGAATTCTGCTTACCTGTTACAACTGAAGGAAGATCTCCAAGGAGACAACTTCCGTGGCCATCACCATATTACCAAAAGCAACTTCAACCTTCAAGAAATTACTTCCAGATTTGTTGCATGGATTGGTGAAAAATATTACCTCAAGGTATTGATGCATTACTAACATTGTTAATTTTGCATTCTTGATATAAAACTTATTTAATATTTTATCATAGAGTAATGCATTGCCTGTATCTTTAGTGTAATGATTTTAACCTGGTTAAATCAGTTACTGATAATGAAAAAAGACAAATGAAATTTGTTTGTAAAGAATACTTTAATTGTTAACTTATTTTGCAGATTTCCAGATACAGACTTAATCCAGGCGTTGAATGTCCTGGGAATGAGACCAATCTCATTCCTTTCAACGCCAGAGTTAGAGGATTATGGAAATACTGAAGTGGAAGAACTCCTGAAATTCTATGGGAAACCACAATCAGTTCAGTGGATTGATAATGGAGAGACCAAAATAAAAACTTCACAAGCATTATTAGATGAGGAATGTGCAAGAAAAGAATGGTTTCAGTTGAAACAAGTGGTAAAAGCAGAGAAGTACCCCAGGGATAAAATGTGGCAGCTGTGGCAGTGCGTCAGACTTTACCATCCTGAATTCCCCAACATGCTGAAGTTGGCCCAGCTTGCTCTAACATCAGCAGTGCATACTGCAGGCTGTGAGAGAGGATTTTCGGTACAAAACCAAATTCTTTCAAAGAGCAGGAACAGGCTCACAATACTCAAACAACACGAGTTGATGACCATCAAAACCACCTGTCTGTCCAAAAGTGAGCTTCTACAAGAAGCCCTCCTTCGGATCAAAAATATAAAACACAGGAGAATTTTCAACATAAAACCCAGGAATGCTTAGCTCAGCATCTATAATTGAACAGTATTTTGTGCAAGTGCATCACACTTCACATGGCTGAGCGGGTTAGGCGACTGACTTTGTGTTCTGGCGATTTGGTACCTGACTCTGGTGTGGGTTCGAATCCCAAATGGGACTCAAACCCCCAAAGTACTAGAATTTGTACTTGTAATTTGTAATTTGTACTTTACTAAGAAAGTGTAATGCCAAATATAACATGTGTTACAACTTGCTACATAGTTTGGAATTGTTTGTTTGACAATCTGAGTCATCTGGAAATATAAATTCATAATACATCATAATGTAAAACTTCAAACTGGTTTTTTCCAACAACAAGGGTTGAAAGCAAACTATATTGACTCACTTTGATCTAATTTGACTCAGTGTTTCAAGTTATGACGAGTCATTTTGACTCATGGTAATGAAGAGCAAAATGAATCACTGTTTATGCCTTACTGAAAATGATCTGGCAATGTTTTCTTGTTATTTCTCTGGCCTCAGATTACAAGACATCCTCAAACCCGAAAATGACATGTTTAGGTTGTTTTATGCAAATGAATAAATTTGTGAACTTTACCTTTGACTTTATCTTTATTTGCACTTCACATACCCATAGTACATGCATACAAGTAATATTGTTAGGCAGTGGAGAGTATTTGTTTCTGTGTGAAAAGGCATGATACAAAACCATTGACATCTGGCAGGTGAACAGGATTAACCTCGGGGGTGGAAATAACTTAAAAATTGCTACTGTACTCCAGTACAGTGGCACATGTAAAATCACTTGGCCTGATAATTTTTCCACTATGCGGATTGATTTTCTTGATCACTTTTTAAATAAACAACATACTTACCTTTGCAAAGTCAGCTATACACTGGTACAGTGTGATATACACAAATTTGTTTGTCCGACAGAAAAAAACCCCACTGGACTGGGACATCTGAACCTGACATGGCATTTATATGACAATATAATCTATTTGGGTAAACAAACATACAACTTATTTCACTGACAAAATACAATCTTATCTACAGACCTGATAAGATGAAAGTCTTCTCACTTAGCTCATACTCCACATATTCATTCAAATATATTTCAAAAGAGGTTGGAAATTAATGTATGTACATGAAAGATTGTCATGGCTTTGCATACTTGAACCCGGTGTATGAGTCTGATTCTGCTGGGAATGCCTCTCTAATTTTCTTCACAACATGAAGGATGAACTTTCCTACATTCTTTGGAAGACGATGGTATACCAGTCTGGAGAAGCGACGATATGAACAGTATCTGTATGCCCTGTAATTGAACAAAAGTGATATCACCTTTTCATTTAGTAGGTGCCTTGGCAAAATTGTATTTTAAAAAGTAATCTATGAATCTCCCGAGGAAATATTTTCATAAATGTACCTTTACCAAGACGAGATGCTCCAATAGTATGTTAACTATAATTTCCCATTCTTCCACTTTACAACAAATAGTTTATAACAATAACTTACTCATGTACTGGCTCGTTGTCGTCAAGTGGTCCATCCTGCTGAACAAACTCCAGTAATGAAACCCAAACGACTCCTCTCCTCAGACAATTGTCCACAAAATATGAGTGCTCAGTGATACACTGCACAGCTGCTTCATCGCACATGTGTTCCGTTTGCTGAATCTCCTGGCAACACTTACTTTCAAGACCAGTTGGCATCGGGATGCACTTACCACAGTCACACCTAAGAAATATATTAAAGTTTTTTTAAAACATCTAAACTGAGAATCAATTGAGCCGAGCGCCGGCAATATACACGCCTTTATCAATCAAGCAAAAAACGTGCTTATTGCTTCGAATGTTATTATAAATAAATATCCTATAAGCCGTGTATTTACAAGACGATTTGTTACAACAAAACGAATTCATATGAACGATGTATCCGGGATATAAGTGACAAAGTGCCGACAGCGTATGATAAACAAAACTGCTTCTAGACAGCAATTAGTACTTCATGAATAAAGTTTATATATATCACAATTTGGCACATTAACAATATACCCGAACCAATAAAACCGATTATTCAACGTTGTTTATATGACGAACGTACCAGTCTGTGTTCCCGAGTCTTCCGATGTTGACATCAAGTGGTGCCTCCGTGTCGCTGGATTCTTCTCCTTCATCTTCACTGGAAGTTTCTCTTGCATGATGTAAAATTGGCTCGTATTGGTACGGTCTAACATCCAGGTCAAAAATGACTTCGGGAACATCATTTAGTGCCTCAGAATCCATGGTCAATCTCAAGCTGTCAAACATAACCAAAGAGGAAGCCATCGGCAACCGGCACATGTGACGTCATGTCACGTGATACCAGCCTCTGCTCATTAACTGTCGGGTGTTTCCGTAATAGGCGGAATTTCGAGGGCGTTTTTCACGTTTTTATTGCGATTTGACAAACATTTTGTAAAATTTTAAAAACAGAAAGTGACTTTAAGGGTGCTTTCTTTCCTATATCAAAAAAAATAATTTCGTTGGTATTCTCCTTTAAATCCTATTAGATGTATATAAGTATGTACTATGCCGTAGTGCCCTTACGCGACAACGGTATAAGGAACGTTACCGAAGCTTCACTTCATAATAGACTTCCATAAAATTATCTTGCCTTCATTGTTATTCAGTAACTTCTAAGATGCCAATCACCAGAAAGCAGGAGTTTCTCTGAGGTTTTGTCAGAATTGAACCGCCGTCACACCTTATTTTTCTAATAACGTGTATATCGACGGCCTGTGGTATTGTTTATGATACCATGTTTCGGTTTTAGCCCTGCGTAAAGTTTTGAAGTAATGATCAGGCATACAGAATATCTTTCTGGTTAATGTCACAGCAAATAAAAGGGTTTGTATATCGCCTACCAAGAGCAGATATTTTACGTCAGTGAAGAGGTATTGTTCAAGGTCACATTGAATGACTTTTCCGGGGTTCTTAGGATTTTTTATGTTGAAGTTTCACTTTTTGTTATTTCAAAACATTATGTTTTAATAATTATTTAATAAATCAAATTCAAACATGATGAAATACAGGTTATTCATTGGCATCTGCAATATTATATTTAACTAAACACTTCTATTTTTGGATTAACTACAGTTCATCATCTGGATACCAACGCACAGCAAAGAGTATACTCATGGCTTCAGTATTCACTCGCTCGAGATCGTCTAAATACCTCGAATTATAGAGGGAGGGTCAAAGGTTCTACCACTTGGAAGCGGAATACCAAAATACTTTAAAATCTGTTACTCATCTCCGCGAGCCTGCTGCTGTAAGGTAAGGAGATAAACCAAAACCTGGTCGACCCTTAGTCAGTATGAAATGCCTGAATACGGTGCCGATAGTAAACGACGGCATGTTATCTGAGTATATTAGCACAATAAAACACAAGTTAAACACTCATGTCACCAGATAATCAACACAAGATGGCCATGCAATAGAGTGAGTGAGTGAGTTTGCTTTTACGCCGCTTTAAGCAATATTCCAGCAACATCACGGCGGGGGACACCAGAAATGGGCTTCACACATTGTACCCATGTGGGGAATCGAACCCGGGTCTTCAGCGGAACGAGCAGACGCTTTAACCTTTATACATACTACCCCACCGTCCCCCAGGTTACTGGAGCAGCCACCAAACAGGAAGAGGATAAAGATTTGGTAAAATCCAGAACAGGATTCTATCAAACGGACATCAGATGCACTACAGGCACTGTCTTTGATAAAACAGCCCAAAACCATCAGTTTCTTTTTTGTTTTGTTTTGTATAGTGTTAAGATCCTAAGTCCGATATTATCCTCTCGAAGGAAGGATCTTATTTGTTTGCTTGTTCTTTTTTTTTTGTTCAATTCAGCAATATTCCAGCTATATGGCGGCGGTATGTTGATAATCGAGTCTTGACCAGATAATCCAGTGACTGGCCCAATGAGCATCAATCTAAGCAATGGGGATATGATGACATGTGTCAACCAAGCCAGCAAGTCTGACCACCCGATCCCGTCAGTCGCCTCTTACGACAAGCATGGTTTGCTGAAGACCAGTTCTAACCCGAAGGAAATGCTACTTAATAATGTGTTTAGCATGTCATCAGGTTACTTTCATGCTCAAAACATGATACTTTACCAGCCTTTTTATAGTCATTTGTCCACAATTGATATATAAAGAATATCGTGTTCCCATCACATCATGACTACAATATTTCCTATACTATATGAAAGTCCAATATATATGGGTTGCTGAAATACAATTCTAACCCAGATCTTCACGCGTGACAAGGATCTTAAATGACTATAACGGGTCAGTTTCCTCCCTTGAAGTAATACTGTGGTATTTCATGGTTCGTTCTTAAGCGCCACTGACTATGATGAGTCATGCGCCTTCTTCCTCTCACATTCTTACCTTTCATTACTTGCGTTTGATTTCAACCTAAATGGCGGCAGTACTAATGAAGATAACCGAATCGATAATGAAGATCTATAGTGTTGTAAAAACGGATATTATTTTGAGTGCATCAGATCATTTGTGCAAGAAACTTGAAACTTGAAAAAAACTTGAACGTATTGGGGAAATGGGATTACGCTTTTATTTCAAGAATGTTCTCAAATGTATAATGGTATAATATATAATCATTTCATCGACACCTTCAGCTAAATCTTGTATTTTGTAGTGAGTGTGTTGGACTAAGCGCCACACTAAACAATAGTTCAAGGTCACATGCAACGTAAAACACAACTTTGCAGATTCTGATAACTTTCGGTATGAAACAAATCTTCAAAATGCAAATTCAACTTATAAAACCGCGCGAAATCGGAGTTCAAACGATTCACTAATTTTCCCCCCAGCGCTTGGGGGGAAAAAGTGGTTTCAACAGCTATGCTGCGCTGCGCTCCTAACGCATGCGCACTGAATAGGTTCGCGGAGCTTGAAACAGGATGCATGCCCGGATTATAAGGTCGTGAGCAGGAGTAGTCTAATCCTGGTTGTGTACTCAAATAAATAGTAAATAATCTACTCGTTACATAAAAGAACCTTGTAAGGATCTAGATCTACTCAGTGAGGCGTTCGACATTTTAAGACGGAAAACCTTGAACGCTGGCGGTGAATAGTCGGTGAAGGCTTTGATGTGAGCTATGTTTTGTTGATATTTCGCAGGCGCGAGCTTTGTATATGTTATGACAGTATATTACCGATTTAACTGTTTATATAATTTCATTTGTCTATTTCACCACACGTTCTTCTTACCGAATCACTTTCTCAGTTCGATACTTAAAAGCAATGTCATTATTTAGCGTTGACAGAATTTCTAACTGTGATATACATATGTCGTTGTCACAGACAAAACTCAATGTCTGTTTTATTGACACCTATGTGTCTGCCTGCCTGTCTGCTAATGACAATATTTAATACACAACTTCGATCACTGACCACATGCAATTTGAACTTAACACCAATCAGGCTATACACCATAAACAAAATGCATTGATTTATGGCCCGAGTTCGGTCTCTGTCACATTATGTAATTACACAGACAGGCAGGTGTGATACTTGTACACATGACATGTTATGATGTCTGTTGATTGTTAAGTGTTATACACAAAAATGAGCATGTATTTACAAAACCCAACATCTCCATATACACACACACAATGAGCCGCGAGGGCATCGGCAAATGAACCAGCCGTTACTAGCCGTTACACTTAAGTGCGGACCCACCCGCTCTGACTGGGTTAGGTTTCGTGGGAAGTAAACCCAAGTACAAATTAGTGCACTTTTGATTTGCGATTGTACGCTTATAATATTGTTTATATGTTTTTTCATAATCAACAATGTATATTATATGTCATGAATAAGTGATAATTGTGTTCTAATTATGTTTGATTTTTTGGTTGCATGTGACCTTTAAGCCATCATACTATTTCTTTGATCAATCTGGTGTCATTTGGGATTAGATCTTCGATAGGTAACTGGGATAAGAGATAATGTGGGTTGTGGCGATTTCGGTAAGAGTAGATGAGCTGTATTGTCAGTTTGGAGAGAGAAGATCCCGGTAATATCAGTTGGGATAAGATGAGATGAGCTGTATTGTCAGTTTGGAGAGAGAAGATACGGGTAATGTCAGTTGGGATAAGAGAAGATCCTGGTAGTGTCAGTTTGGAAGATCCTGGAAGTGACAGTTGGGATAAGATAAAGTTCAGGTAGGTGCCAGCTAGGACATGAACAGATGCAAGTAGTTAAAATAGGAATATCCGCTGGCAATGTAAGTTGGAACCAGAAGTTGAAGATCGGTGGTATGAGAGCAAATGAAGATAGTGGCAGTAAGGAAAAAATGAAACCCTCGTAATGTCTTCTGGATTGCGAAAAGAAACAAGATAGTATCAGTAAGGAGAAGAGGACATGGTGGTAGTGTTATTTGGGATGAGAGGAGATACAGCCTGTTGGAAGAAAGAAATTCATGGTAGTGTCAATGTGCAGGTTGGTGTCACTTGGTATAAGATAAGATTCAGGCAGGTGTCAGTTACGTAAAGATTCAGGTATTTGTCAGGAATCCAGGACAAAATCGACCCCAAAATTGCAACCTAGGACAAAATCCACCCGGACAAAATCCACCCCTAGTAAAATTCACCCTAAGAAAAAAAACCAAACTAATGACATGTTTAGTCACAGAAATGAATTGTATTCATATCAGTCATTCATAATTGTTAACAAAAACAACCAAAATACATATGTAAGCACATTTTGTAAGCACATTTTTGGATATATAAATATGACACATTTTCACATTTCACATTTATGTCTCATTCATGCATCAATACATATATAAATATGATAACAGCATATATTTTCAGACATATCTAAGACTAAACATCTTGCCACATTTCAAAAACGCAAACAACGGCCGACGCCGTGGAGAAAGCCTCGAGTGTCTTGTCCTTCGTTGCGTAGGTCTTGCACAGACCTTCAAGGCGTTCTTGGAGACGCTTGGTGGTTGTTCTGGTTCTTTTCTTTGGGGGCTGACCTCTTTCGGACCTGTAGATGGCTGTACATGCAAGACCGTTGTCTTTTCTCAGACAGTCGATGAGTCTCAACACAGTAGGGTGGGAATGTCCTATCAGTTTCTTGAACGCGTGGCTCCAACCTTCGCACACATTGTTTGTTCGAGAACCACAGTAGTATAGTGTGGTCTGTTTCCCGGAAAAGCGCCCTATGTTAAACCAATAGCCAGCTCCGCAGCCCCAAACTGCTAACCCTGCTCGTAATCTCTAAGGGTATACACGAACCAGATAAACATACACCCAAAAGGTAAACATATATCACACGTGTTCGATAAGAATCACTGTACCTGAAGACTAGTCACCTCATCTAGAACAAATGACCCAGAAACCTAATACCACAGTAACACTAATGTACTTAAACCACGAAGTTTGGGGTCACGGAAAAATGCTAATAACACATTCAATAACAACGGACTCGAAATCGCAAACTACCAAGACGTCCATTCTCTTTCAGGAGAGCGCTAATATATTATTGATTGACAATAACTTGTCTTATGTAAATATCTCATATTCATTGTGCACTATATAAGTCGAGAATTATAAACACATCATACAATTAACCGTATTCATCATCTCGAACGACGCTACTGTGAAAATTAACAAAATTCTAAATCACATGTTCGATGTGAAGAAGAAGACGCGGTTACTCACAAAAGATCAAAAGACTATGCGAGTGGGTAGAATAGTGAATGCACTGTTCATGCGAGTGAACAGCAGGTACCCGAAGGTCATCCTCCGACGCATTGATGATCACCCACCCAACAAAGTCGCTGGAAAGGTAGTTATTCTATTTATTGTTGATAATTGTAATTATTCATAATTTATTATATTACGAGTAGTTAGGATATAATGAAGATCGTATACCGCGTGTTACAATTCACCAATCTATATCATATCAATACATCAGCGTATGGTCTTTCTCCTGAACCCCAACTTACTGCAACCCATATTCGATGCACTTATCCAAGATCACTAAGCATCGTCGCATCCACAAATGTACTAAGTGTTTACGGGTTTGTCTAATACACCATGGTTATGTAGTATCAAAAGAAGTGTACTGCACTCCAAGGATTGTAACAACAGAGTTCACTACAAGATTATTACTCTCAGTCACACTGAACTCGATCCCAAACACCAACATTGCTAGATAACTACCCACGATGGTTTAGTCAACTCACACATCGCTCTCCACTAACATCCAGTAAAATACCTTACATATCATTCGATGGCGAGAATTTATATAGAGTATGTATCATTTACTAACCATAAAATAATTAACAAATTCAATATTTTCAGCAGATCCAAGCTCAGAGGAAAATGAGAAAAACGACATGCGCATTTTTTACAAGACATACTACTCAGGTGGGATTATGTGTGAACTATTCTCACTGATAGATACATCTACTCTCTTTTATATATGAACTCCTCAACTAGTCTCGCTTTGATAAAGTGTTGTCAATACTTAGCTACTATTCAACGAGTAAGATTCCATTAGGGTTTATTTAACCAGTAATTACTAAATGAAACATCAAATGTACAAGAAGATTATGTTGGTGAGAGGGTGGTAGTAATCCTATACTCGAATACCATGAAGCGGGTTGCGTCTTACAATGTAAAGAACAATAATACTGTGTTAATCGCGTCTAATGCGCTGTATTACTTTGTTTGTTTTTCATCCTTACAGGTTTCCAGTGGGTAAACAATCCAACTCAGAGTTAGCAGCACGGTAAATAATACCCACACGAAGCATGCCGATCGAGGAAATACATCCAGATTAACGAGAGACAACGCTCGGTGTGAATGATTGAATTGTAACGTCATATGCGATGATTTGAAGCACCACTATTTTAAATATACCACTGTAACATCAGAAATGAGTAAAGGTCTTTTATTATTCCAATGATTGTAATATGTATGAAGGTTAAATATATGGATATTTTTCAATCTGACATAGGTGAGTGTGAGTAGTTAGTTTACGTCGCGCTCAGCAATGTTTCAGCTACACTACCCGGGCGATCCGGTTGCAAATCGAACCCAACCACTAGATCTGGTTTAGTCGTCTTTTACAACAAGTATGGGTTCCTAACAACAATAATATACAAAACTACAAACTAGTGTGAGTAGTGTAGTTTACGTCGCGCGCTCAGCAATGTTTCAGCTACAACACTACACTACCCCAGCGATCTGGCTGCAAATCGAACCCAACCACTAGATCTGGTTTAGTCGTCTTTTACAAGTATGGGCTCCTAACAACAATAATATACAAAACTACAAACTAGTGTGAGTAGTGTAGTTTACGTCGCGCGCTCAGCAATGTTTCAGCTACAACACTACACTACCCCAGCGATCTGGCTGCAAATCGAACCCAACCACTAGATCTGGTTTAGTCGTCTTTTACAAGTATGGGTTCCTAAGAACAATAATATACAAAACTACAAACTAGTGTGAGTAGTGTAGTTTACGTCGCGCGCTCAGCAATGTTTCAGCTACAACACTACACTACCCCAGCGATCTGGCTGCAAATCGAACCCAACCACTAGATCTGGTTTAGTCGTCTTTTACAAGTATGGGCTCCTAAGAACAATAATATACAAAACTACAAACTAGTGTGAGTAGTGTAGTTTACGTCGCGCGCTCAGCAATGTTTCAGCTACAACACTACACTACCCCAGCGATCCGGTTGCAAATCGAACCCAACCACTAGATCTGGTTTAGTCGTCTTTTACAACAAGTATGGGTTCCTAACAACAATAATATACAAAACTACAAACTAGTGTGAGTAGTGTAGTTTACGTCGCGCGCTCAGCAATGTTTCAGCTACAACACTACACTACCCCACTAGCGATCCGGTTGCAAATCGAACCCAACCACTAGATCTGGTTTAGTCGTCTTTACAACAAGTATGGGTTCCTAACAACAATAATATACAAAACTACAAACTAGTGTGAGTAGTGTAGTTTACGTCGTGCTCAGCAATGTTTCAGCTACAACACTACACTACCCCAGCGATCTGGCTGCAAATCGAACCCAACCACTAAATCTGGTTTAGTCGTCTTTTACAACAAGTATGGGTTCCTAACAACAATAATATACAAAACTACAAACTAGTGTGAGTAGTGTAGTTTACGTCGCGCGCTCAGCAATGTTTCAGCTACAACACTACACTACCCCAGCGATCTGGCTGCAAATCGAACCCAACCACTAGATCTGGTTTAGTCGTCTTTTACAAGTATGGGTTCCTAAGAACAATAATATACAAAACTACAAACTAGTGTGAGTAGTGTAGTTTACGTCGCGCGCTCAGCAATGTTTCAGCTACAACACTACACTACCCGGGCGATCTGGCTGCAAATCGAACCCAACCACTAGATCTGGTTTAGTCGTCTTTTACAACAAGTATGGGTTCCTAACAACAATAATATACAAAACTACAAACTAGTGTGAGTAGTGTAGTTTACGTCGTGCTCAGCAATGTTTCAGCTACAACACTACACTACCCCAGCGATCTGGCTGCAAATCGAACCCAACCACTAGATCTGGTTTAGTCGTCTTTTACAACAAGTATGGGTTCCTAACAACAATAATATACAAAACTACAAACTAGTGTGAGTAGTGTAGTTTACGTCGCGCGCTCAGCAATGTTTCAGCTACAACACTACACTACCCCAGCGATCTGGCTGCAAATCGAACCCAACCACTAGATCTGGTTTAGTCGCCTTTTACAACAAGTACGGGTTCCTAACAACAATAATATACAAAACTACAAACTGAAATAAACATGAATGAGTAGCTCGGTGACACCTAAAACAAACGAATCTGGACTAGACAATCTAGTCACCAGCACTGTCAATTTGGATGACGTTAGATGATTACATGATCAGGTGTAGCACAAAAAAAAAGTCAAAAATATGTAAGACGTTCAGGGCGCCTCCTGTTTCTAACGGGACGCAGGCGAGGTTGAGGATCGGCATCTGGTTGAATCCTGTTAACTTGTTGTCGTCCTCTTCTTCCTCGCAGTTGTTGTCTCATGTCTCGTTGTTGAGCTCGCTGCACCACGCGAGGTTGATTGCCTGGGGGAGGTTGTTGCTGGGGGAATCGGTCATTGTTGAGGTCGAGGACTGCTAGGAGGATCCTAAATATGATCTGTCTCAGGTTAATGAGACACAGTCCTAACAGGCACAGGATCCCATCTCTCAATAGATCTATTAGGAAAGAACAAAACAGAATATATTACTGGGAGAACATTTCTATTTCCTCCGCCTCGTTAATCATGATCTCATCGAATACGTTACGCGGAGGAGAGCTTGTATCCGTGAAGAGATTGAATCCTCGTCCTCTATTTTCCAGTTCCATAGATCGTCGACGACGTCGTTTGATGTGAATAAGAATACCCAGAACAATTCCTCCCATAACCACTATCATTGTAACGGACACCGTTGACGCAATTGTGATAATCTCCCCTGCTCGAAATATATAATGAATGATAAGTTCGTTATAATATGCATATATTTATTAATTATCAATGTCCTCATAGTCTCTGTCAATTTCGGAACTATTTCCATTCGAATTCACTCCCGATCTTAAAAGCTGACCCATTTCAAAACTATTGGAAAGAGTAATTCGCATATGGAGGTACCGTAACTTTCTACGCAAACCACGGACCATAAAATATAAAATACCGCTTATAAACAATAAGGAAAAGCAAATAACTAAACTTATTCCGAAATTATAAATATTAATCACACCTCTCTTATTAATGTCTATACCTCCTGTTAGAGTCATAGTTGAGTTGTCTTTAACAGTAGTACTTCCAACATTGGTAGTTGTGTGAACATCAACTGCAGCGGTGTTAGTAATAGTCTAAGCAGCAGGGATGTTGTTACTGGAACTAACAACACTAACAACCGTAGCATCAGCATGCGTAGTAGTAGTAGTAGTAGTAGTAGTAGTATCGGTGGTGGTATCGGCGGTCAAAAGCAGGGTGGTTATTGCATTCTTTTTAGTGGTATCTGAAAATAAAAATAGGAACTACGACTGCGCATAAACTGTTAGTGTTATCAGATGACAATAAATGATACAATAAAGAACCTACCACTGTAACTCGGTACACTCGATGAGGTAGTCTTGTCCTTCGGGCGCTCATCTGAAACCATTATGGTGAAGAAAATCTGATGCTGTAGAGAGAGAGAGAGAGAGAGAGAGAGAGAGAGAGAGAGAGAGAGAGAGAGAGAGAGAGAGAGAGAGAGAGAGAGAGAGAGAGAGAGAGAGACATAGAAAAAATAAATACAAAATCAGGCATGTCAGTCGATTTCTTTATTCATCATAAACATATCATATCTATGTTTCAATTAAACATTGACGCAAAGCACACACAGAGAGAGAGAGAGAGAGAGAGAGAGAGAGAGAGAGAGAGAGAGAGAGAGAGAGAGGTGTCATCACAGGCCCTGTGGATTTGGATGGAACTGAGTAGTAGTTTGTTCAAATAAATATAATGGAGGGGTTAATGGAGGTTAATGTTTACTTACCTTCAATGGACACAGAACTCCGTCTCGGTACACTCGCACAAAACTTGGTCGATAAACATTTGTAGTGAGCGAGAGCATTCCTATTAAACATTCCATAAACAATATCAAGTTGCAGGAACATTATCTCTTATCTAAGAAGGTGATACTTACAAAGTGCTTTATCGAGTGTTGTCATCGTTGTTATAGTGGATGCATCAGTCGTCTGCAATACAACATAACCATCGAATCATTTACTAAAATGAATAGATCAATTAACTACGTATAAACAACGATTAATGGACTAATTTAATAGAAATCAGCACAAACATGGTATGACATCAAACAACAAGCAGAAATAAAAACAATAACAACAATGTCATCCTATATACTACCAAATGCTAGATATCATCTCTTAATCAACAACGAAGGTAATTATGTAATCACTAACAATCACATGCGGCGCAATGACCACATCTGGGATTAACAATACTTCCTTTAATACACCAAGTACTCTCTACCTCCGACGAAGGTTAATAATTAATACTCCATATTAAATGAGTTTACTTATTCATACATCATCTCCCGATCAACATGATCACTTTTTTCCAGATATTTTAAGACTCGAACACGCGCGCACAACAGATCTACATCCTCCTCTGTTGTAGAAAATAGTTTACTTGCAGAGAATAACTACTACTACTACTACTACTACTACTACTACTACTACTACTACTACCACTACTGGTGAAACATATAAACCCTTAACCACGCAAAGGACCAAGCTAACCCTATCTATTTCATTTCCATCAAATCATCTGTAAAACATATTAACATAAATAATCACGAGAGAGAGAGAGAGAGAGAGAGAGAGAGAGAGAGAGAGAGAGAGAGAGAGAGAGAGAGAGAGAGAGAGAGAGAGAGAGAGAGAGAGAGAGAGAGAGAGAGAGAGAGAGAGAGAGAGAGAGAGAGAGAGAGAGAGGTGTCATCACAGGCCCTGTGGATTTGGATGGAACTGAGTAGTAGTTTGTTCAAATAAATATAATGGAGGGGTTAATGGAGGTTAATGTTTACTTACCTTCAATGGACACAGAACTCCGTCTCGGTACACTCGCACAAAACGTGGTCGTGTGATCTTCTCACAGTCCACCCGGCTGTTGCTGAGGTCCATCACTCTCAGATTAGGAAACGATTTTCTATCAATGATGAATGGCTCATCCCAGTCATGTCCCGTGACTCGCACGATCTCGGGGTGCGCGACAATGTCGATGACATCCCGACTACCATCACTCTCAGATTAGGAAACGATTTTCTATCAATGATGAATGGC